CAAGATTACAAACAGAGAAAGAAGAAGAAGCGGGATTACAAAAAGAAAAAGAAATGGAAAAAGAAGAAGAAGAAGCGGGATTACAAAAAGAAAAGAAAAAAGAAGAAGAAGCCAAATTACAAAAAGAGAAAGAAAAAAAAGAAGAAGAAAAAGAAGAAGAAAAAAGAAGAAAGAAAGCCGAGGAAGAAGAGAAAGCAAAGAGAGAAATGGAACGCATAAAGTCTATAGTAACGGTTGGGGATTATGGCGATTTCTTCTCTACCGACGTGCCGTTCGTGACCTTCAGTAAACTGATCGACGTTCTTTACGCTATGTTAGAATCCATGCCTGAAAGTAAAGGCGTCGATTTGGTTCGTGATCGTATTCAAGCCGCAATCTATGATAAATTTCGAACCGTTATAGAAAGAGAAGATCCAGAAGCATTGAACGAACATATGAAAGACGTCTTGATCGTTTTGGCTGGAAAAATAGCGAATTGGATGAAAAATATTCTTACAGAGTCGCAAATCATTTTCCTCGACAAATATCCAGCTGAAGTTGAATCCGTTCAAATTAGGGATTGGTCGAAATGGCTGACTTATGTCAGCGATACCGCCGACAATTGGGCTACCTGGCTTCGCAAAGTTCTCGAAGAAGCTGAAGGTATTAACGAAGAGGGAATAACCCGAGGCGATTGGCAAGACTGGACGAAATCTGTCGACGTTGATGCTCTCCTTTGGAGACGCTTTCATCTACAAACTATTCACCAGGCTCATAGAAACGTCACGTTGATGGCGCAGAGAGAAGTCGTTAAGACTGGCACCAAGACAATGGATTTTACCGAAAAAGAAATACGGAACGCCGATCTTCAAATTGTCGCTTGATTACCAAAAACTAAATTGAACTAACGAAACGTCAAAATTAAGTCGTTTTTAATTTGTTAAAAATTAAAATATTAAAATAAATATGAAATATATAAGAATGGAATGATAATCACAATGCGTTACACGATCAATTTTATTTAATATTTGTGTGCTTTTTTATAGATTCTTTTAACGATCTACAGCTAACCGATGATAATTAGAAAATTCATATTCTTTCATCTTCAATTGAACAAACTTCTCTATGTTTTCTATCGTGATTTTCTATTTGCTAAACGAATAACTTTTGTTGTTTTTTTTCGCGATATTTATTAAAAAGTATATAATGTATATGGCATTAGAATTCGCGTTAAACGTTTACACGATCAACGTTATTTCCGGATTTTACCTTTAATATATGTACGTTCGTATAAGCATACGATAGGTTCAACAAATTTTTATTCAAAGTTGGACATTAAATCAATATTATGCAAATGATTTCTTTAGCTTTAGCGTGACTTGCTTATAAAATCCAAAAATATATTATATATAATTTCATATGATTATTTCCATTTAAAACCAACAAATTTATCCAAGATTTGATAAAATTATAAAGCCCTATTACAAATACTAAATCATCGAATGAAATTTTGATAATTCGCAAACGATTTTATTCCGAATAATATTTTCAAAATATCATACAATAGAAAGGAATGATATATGAAAAAAATCAATGATATGATAATTTAAATTCTGAAATTTTTAATTAACGATATTAAATCACAATCTGAATGCACGATTCTTGGATCTCCTCGAACTTTCACCAAATGACTTTGCTTTCTTTCACCAAATCCGGAAAGGAAGAAAGTTTAAGCGCGTTCAAATAATTCTTTAACGAACGAACGAACGAACGAACGAACGAACGAACCATCGATTGATTTTCAACGAGTAAAAAACGAATTAATCGGTTGACGTGCGAAGAAAACAATTCTACAACGCAATAATTGCTCATGAAAATCTTTTGAATATTATTCATGATTCAAACTACTCAAATTCTGTAAATATTTTCCTCCGTCATTATCAAACTATGTTTTATCTAATTTAGCGTTTCTTTTATTCAACTTGAAATTTTTCCTTTCCATTGAAATTTTTCCACGAACATAAAACTCATAACAAGTTGTAATAATATTATATACTATTCTTATAACGTTAATTAATAGTTTATAGTTGTAGGATTAGTAATGCATCAAACGAAAAAAAATATGTAAACGAGATTCGTCGAAATACTTGAAGAATATATTAAGCTACTGTCCCAAAGTAGATAGAAGGTCGGTTAACCGTAAACAGAAAGAAGGAAAGAAAGGGTGAGTGAGAGAAGCAAAATAGCCAATGGTACATAAATCAGTAAATACAAGTTTATGATACGTATCTGTGTCTTTCTCGATTAAAATCGGATTGATCGATTATTTTATTCGTTTTGATTCGATGTTGTTCATCTTTCAAAGAAAACAAAAGAGACCTTGTTATAAAAAAATTTCTCTTTTCCTATTCGGATTATAAAATGTTTCAAATATTCGCTAGGTGTGAAACTACTAGAAAAATACAAATGGAAATAGAACAAAAGTTTAAGAAAAAAACAAGGGTAAAACATGTGGAAGCAACCCTTCGGAGAAACTAAGCTGCCGAAAGGCAAATATTAGAACTACGGACAGGTGTCCTGATTTTCTATTTCTTGCTAAAAAAAAAGAAAGAAGCGAAAAAAACGTATAGAAAAAGAAAATGAGCACGAGAGATATCTAGGAGAGAGAGAGAGAGAGAGAGAGAGACACACACAGACAGAGTTTTATCAAAAAGTAAACAACGAAGTTAACAATTCGAGTTATTGGCAAAACACAAAAAAAAGAAAGTAACATCAATGTCGAAGTTAATGTCGGTCGACGCTCCTATACCAAGAACCCTAATTTTTCAAGTGAGGGAGCATGAATGGCAGGAGGGGGGGGGAGGAAGGAAGTAAAGTATGTCAGAGAAAGAACAACTCTCTCTCTCTCTCTCTCTCTCTCTCTCGATACGATACGATACGATACGATACAATAAGACGAAGATAGGATGAGGTGAAAGAGGTGCAGGAGGGTGGAGAGAGGGAAGAAAATAGAGAAATATAGAGGAATGACTGACTCTACGAGAAAGAGAAAGAAAGAGAGAGAAGATCCCATAGCCGTGACATTGCGCGCGCGCATTTCTCTTAACAGCCGTGGTCACGTTTACGCCGACGTACTATCGATCCTATTCCCCTGTATGCTACCGCCTTCTTCTTCTTCTTCTTCTTCTTCCTCTTCCTTCTCCTCCTACACTCCTCAAGACCCATTTCACTATCACTATCTTTCTTTTTCTTTCTTCTTTTTCATCCCAGTTGGTGAGTTCTTTTTTTTCTGCATATCTGTGAACAACACATCTTTTAACAAGAAGACATCGGTGTATTCGTTATAATCGTGCAATTCCTTCTTTTGCTAATAACATAAGTTCTTATGACAACATTCATGTCAAAGTTTTGTAATAAGTGTTTTTACTACTCGTGTGTATTTCCTGTAATTTCAAATTCCACCCCAATTTAATGTGATTTTGTTAATTATCTCAGAAAAAAAAATAAAATAGAGAGAAAGAACAATTATTGAATGGGATTGTTTAAAGAAAAAGAAGATAAGAGTTAATCAAGGTTCGTCCGTTCTTGAGAAGAAAAGCGGATGTGAATTGGTTTGATCGTTTGATCGACAAGTAAGGAAAAAGTGAAAAAGTATAGACCTAATGCAACTAATCCAAGAAAAGCTATTTACTTAGATTAGACACGATCGCGCGATTTTCATATCTTATCTTACTTTTACTGTTACTCTTACTTTTACGATTCTACTAAAATACTATTAATAATTATACACTCATTAATAAATATTTCATATATTGACAGTTTGCATTTAACTTTTGTTTTATTTAACGATCATAAAAATATCGAAATTTGATTTGCAGGAAATAAGTAAAATATTTTCAAAAAAAAAAAAAAAAAAGAAAAGGAAAAAGAATTTTGTTTGTCATGTCTGGGTAAATAAATTTCATTGTAGTTAATAAGCCTTGAGGTCATTGCTTAATGTACGATGACTGGTTAATTAAAAGCGGACGTTAACGTAATTCGATAAACGTTATCAGTCTCAGTTAATTATAGAACGTAGGTGGTGGTGGTCGTTCATCGTAAGACGACGAACAAAATTGTGGAACACAATTCGAAAAGGAAAATATATTTTAGGATGTTGACGTGCTGGGAAAAGATCTCTTTGGTTGTCCTAACTGCTGTGGGCTTGCGAATTTTAATAAGAGGAGGTCTACTCGCATGGAGAAAATTATTAGCACCTAATTTAGGCTTAGGTGTAGATTTAACGAGTCAAGGTAGATGGGCAGTAATCACAGGGGCAACCGATGGGCTCGGTAAAGCTTTCGCTAAGGCTTTTGCTAGCAAAGGACTCGATATTGTGCTAATCTCAAGATCATTGACAAAACTGAAAGATGTTGCAACCGAAATAAAAGAGGAATACGGAGTTGAGACCCGTGTCGTGGAAGCTGATTTAACCGAAGGTCAAGTGGTTTACTCTAAAATCGCTGAAGCTATTGAAGAACTCGAGGTAGGGTCATTTATCAATATTCTTCGACGATATTAACAATGTTAATTAATTTCACTTCAAGCATACTTTCCATTATTGCTTTTACTATATACAAAATATATTGTCTCAAGGCAAATATAAATTGAATGACAAAAGTTATGATAGCAATTAAAATATATTTCTACAGGTTGGCATTCTTATTAATAGTGCTGGAATGAGTTACGAACATCCAGAATTTCTAACAAACGTTCCAGAAGATACTCTAAATAAAATATTACAATTAAACGTGGCTGGTCTTACCGGTACAACAAGGGTGGTTCTACCAGGCATGATAAAAAGACAGAAGGGTGTTGTCATTAATATTAGTTCGATAATTGGTGATATTCCAAGTCCATATTTAACAGTCTATGCAGCTAGCAAAGCTTATGTCATTAAATTCAGTGCTGATTTAGCTGCGGAAGTAGCTTCATATGGTGTTATCGTGCAGTGCGTTCTTCCTGGAGTAGTTTCTACCAAGATGACTAAAATTAAGTGAGAATGCTTGTTACTTTTTTCATCAATTCGACGATTACTGAAAATTACTAATTAATTTATTCATTTGATTTCATTAGAAAGCCAACATGGATGGCACCGACACCTGATAAGTTCGTCGAGGCAACATTAAAAACTGTAGGAATCGAATCGCTAACAACTGGATATCCTCCACACTATTTAATTTACGGATTTATGAAGACTTTGATATGCGTGTGTAAGAAGGGTGCTATGTGGTTAGTGACCAGAACGATGCTCAATTTAAGAGGACGTGCTCTTCGAAGAAAGATCAAGGAACAGAAGCAAATGAAAGAAATAACGCAAAGCGATGATCCCCTTACGGAATAAATTTCTCCAAGCCATGTTTTTTGTCATCTATTATTATCCTAATTCACGGGATTTCTCTTTCTACGAAAAATGATTGTATTACTTACTTATCAAGTATACATGTGCCTGTGTGTGCGTGTTTAAATGCTGCGAATCACAGGAGTCCTCGTACCAGCTTAAATTGTAAATTTTTAATAAATTGTCTTTTTTTATTTTACAAAAAAAAATTTTTATTCAATTCATATAAAATATTCATAAACATATTATATTTAAACCTACAAATTCATATTTATTTTATTGCAAACGAATTGCATTTCATTCACTTAATTCGCTTCATAATTCACACAGAAACTCTATACAAAAGAAAAATTAGTTGTAATACCCACCCTACGAACCTTTCAGAAATATCCACCCTATGAACTTTTCACAAATATCCACCCTACGAACCTTTCAGAAATATCCACCCTATGAACTTTTCAGAAATATCAACCCTACGAACTTTTATTAAACTGATAATATATAACAGTTATATATTAAACTGATTAATAAACTGATTCATACAACAGGGGAGGTAAACTTGAAATGTCTACTCATTACTATCAAGAATGATAAAAAGAATCCAACAATACTGCAACAATGAAAGATTTTTGAATGCACTGTTTTTATTATACTTACATTTGGAAGAAACCATATACCGTAATATTTTATCAAAAGATTGCCAGAAGGAATGCATCCTAGTTATCACAAATTAGGAAAACAAATGGCTAATACATTATATTAGAAAACTCTATTCTTGTACAAAATCTTTTACCAGGTTTTCTAAACGATGATGGAAGATATTATTGTTCATCGACTGCCAAGAAAAATATATGTATTTATATAAATTAATATCTTCCTTGCAAAGAATTCCATGTGAATTATTATGTGAATAGAATGCAGCTGTTCTGACTAAAAATAATCTAGACAATAATATGTTAGAGGCAAATATAATAGATTTGTTAGAAGAAGAGGTAAATATTATAATACTATTAAAATACACTTAC